CAAGACCGAAAGAAACCCGGCTCGAGGGGGGAGCCGGCTTCGTCCGATTGACCGCGCAACCAAGCGAACGAGCAAGCGACCAACCAATCATTAGGAGACGAAGAAAAGTTTGAGATCAGACCGAGAAACTCAATGGAAAAACTCCGAAACCCACCGAAAACATCCATTCAACAACGTTTTGAACGCATCATTCCTTCTTATAATAGAAGAGCCTCCATGATCGTCGAAGCCAACGGAGAGGTCACGAGAGACATTTTCACCGAGGAGGGCCGAGTGCTCGGAGCTCTCCGCGCGTAACATGCAGATTCGCACTGAGCCCCCACACCTCGTGAAACAACGTTTCCTCGAACGAAAGATCGCGGATTCGCATGCGGCGGCCGGCTTCTTTCTCCCGCGTATTCCGCAGAAATTCCCATGAAATACTGCTGGGGATTCCGTAGGAACGCTCATCTTCGTCGGGCCGATGCCCGAGTAGATGACTTAGATCATGGTTGTCCCAAGCCCTGAACGCAGCCCCCGCGCCCCAGGCCCTCGGGTGTCTCGCGGTGGGAGAGGAGGAAGGCAACGGAGAAAAAACATGAGAGCTCCGCGGGGAGCCCCTCACCATCGGTCAGACAATCGTTGAAGGATCCCACGGATGAAAAATGAATTCAGAAGCGACAGAGCGAGGAGCTAGGTGTGCTTTCCTCCGCAAGCGTCTCATGAATATCTCCATACTCAACTCTGCTGATTGTTATCGCTGCAGTTTTGAGTTTTCCAGTCAGTTTTCCTGGGTGGTCCACCTCGCCGCCAAGCGTTCGAGTAGGTGCCATCACCCTGTCACAAAATTTTCCTCCGATTCCCATCGCTCTAGAGATCTAATCGTCGAAAGCACCCCGATAGTATACATCCGGGGCGGAGGCTGCTAGTTCCTGAGAGCGTCGGAATCTGAATAGAATATTCCTGCATTAGAATCTCTAGATCCTCTCGCCGAAACTGAGACCGTGGATGCAGATAGATGTTGACGGAATCATTATTTACGTAAATGGAATCCGGAATATGTACATATAGACTCTTCGTGCAATTAGATCCCTCTCCTGAGCTTTCAACTCGGTCGCACTCGCAGACGGAAAAATGAAACCCTAGGAAATTTCCCGACTGCATCGAGAATCATGTACTCAGTCAAGGGACGTGCGGATAATGCGATCGATCCGCTGACCGCATTGCGCTTTCAACGACGCCGACGGTGTGAGGACTCCTTTTGTATGGCTCGCGCTTCGAAGCTCCCTCCCACCCCAGTTATACCGTAAACCAGCTTTCGACCCACTGGGCTCCGACTCCCATGGAGATGTCTCCGCTCTCCGACGACGAGAAGAAAATAGTTTTTCCTCGTGGTTTCCCAACACTCCGGGTTCTCGGAAACACCTGGATTGACACTCCGGCCCGACGGTTTCCCGTCCTACGGGACCGGTAACGCGATCGACGGTCACCGGCGGATTCGTTGAACAGACTCACCAGCAGGCGATGCAGTCTAAAGCACGACGTAATTCCGTAATGAGGGCGAAGCATTTTCCGACCTTGAATTCTATGAGCGGCCGAGCAGCCGATGCTATCTCGCCCATAAACGAAGCAATTTAGATAGGCGATGGCTTCACAGATCAACGCTCAGCCGTAGATTATCCCACGACAGCCTCGCTAATACCCTGCGGAGATCCCACCTCCCGTTCATCTCTCGAGTGTCTGTGGACCTCTTGGGAGCCTTGGCGGGCACTCCGATCATTCTTCACCGAGGAAACTTTCGGTGTCACCTTCGAGCTCATGATATCGATTAATCTCGGTGACTTCAGTCATCGCTCAGATGACTGGGCCGACTCTCGTGGATCCTCCTGTCCGAAGAAAGTCATTGAATATCCTACGAACCTCATTCTAATGTCCTTAGCCTGATATCCTTCGCCGTAACATTTATGTATTCACACATGAAAGCCTGGAATTTCGCTCCGCTATTTTATGGCCGATTGAAACAATTAATTCGGCGCCTCTATCCCTATGACCGCGCTCTCGTTGAATGTATTCCGCGCAGACTCGTGTGAGTCTCACAGTGGACTTTAGTGCGACTGCGGCGCGTTCTCCCTCACATTGGTTTGAATGACTCCGCTAATTGCTAATTTGCCATCGGTCGAAGTCCCTCGTTCTCAGCGGGGCTCCGCGAGCTCGAATGAAGTCTTCTGAGGAAAGTCCCGCTCACCTTACGCGAACAGTGTCGGGACCCTCAGGGTGGGGGAGCGGATGGCGCCAGAACGACGAGCTCCCGGGGAGGAATCGACGGTGAAAAAACACGCTGAAATCGGTCTCGGAGACTGCGTACGATCAGTTGACTCGAAAAAAAAACTGTCGGTAGCTTGAAAGTCACGCGATCGCTTAGTCAATCGGTCACTCAGTCAGTCAGTCAGTCAGTCAGTCCGACGGCACCGGCCCCAGGCTGGTTGGTCGGTTCGTCAATCTATCAGGCAGTCTGTCAGGACTGCGCGACTTGTTGCCGAGCTAAGGTCGTTGCCAAGAAGTATTCGGAGAATTTATCCCTCGAGGATGGAATATCGTGTCACATGGTGATGCTTGGGCAAACGCTGCTGTCAACGATCTGAATCGCAAACTAACCCACTGACCGTTGTGGACGTCCTGCGAAAGTCGTTCAGCTGGTCGATAAAGCTCTACGATGTGCTTGCGAGAGCGGCACCGTGTGGCTTCCCGAGACTGAAAATACGGAACTAACTCGACGCTTCACCGACCATCTGCGAGCTCTCGACGAAGCATTCTTCCCATGAACGGGAATGCTGTTTGAGACGTTTTGTGTCGGGAGGATCGTCTCACATCGCCGTCTAGGATATACGTACTCAATTTTTTGTGTAGACAGCGCTCCTCCGAGCCCATGATCGAATCGATGGCAGACGGGGAGGTCTGCCATATAATTCCGCTGGTATCGATTCGCCGTCAATCAAAAATTTGTGGAACTTCTGACAATGAGTTGAACTCGACACTCACGACACGGGGCGTTGTTCAGTACACCTCGAAATATTGGATAAAGCGTAACAAATGCGGGCAGGCTCGGGTAAAGCACTCAGGAATATTCCGCCAAGAAGTCTTTTTACGTCAGTGCTCGAATGAATCTCATTTCTCATGGGACTTGCTGACATGTTTACCTTGAGATATTCCGTTCATGTAGCTCCACGGACAAAATTCACGGAGTCGAAATCCGCAGCGAACACGGCTGGCATACGATTTACGGCGTTTCCCCGGCTTCCAGATTCTTCTCGGGAGCCTGATTGGATTGACGTATTATCGAAATTCTGATCTCCAAAATCATACTGAGTATCGTTGCCCCCTGACTTCGGTGGATGGTAGTTCTCTCGTCGATTTTACGGCAAATCTTTTCGCATCCCTGAGATCCTGTCCGCGTCTTCTTTCATCTCTGCCCCAAGTGACGACTCGGTGGCTGACTCCGTCCGGTTTTCGAGGCTGCGCCTCACCTCGGCTCGACGGTGGACCAATCGCCACGCAACCTCGGGCGGCAGCCCCGACTCATTAGCGTTGGCCAGCGCTTGCTGGAACGTTTTGTGAAGCGTCGCCGCCTTCGTCTCCACTTCATCCGAGCCCAGAGAGCTGGCAAAATCCTTTCTCGCACAAACGAGTAGAAGTCGTAAGGAGCTCGCTCACAGTGAAATTCCGACCGCAAGCCGCGCGCTACGGAGTGCTCTCCAGCCGTAATATCGAGATCTTCGAAGAGGTGTGGACAGCGCGGGATGGCAAATCCTGAACCGAGTTTCGGTGGACGGTAACGACAAAAGACAGAAGAAAAAAAACGAAGTTCCGGTAGCGAACGACTTCTGTGAGCTGACGGCTCGGGGCTGGAACACTCAGCAGCTCTCGAGTCGGGTGGCCAGCCGCTCTTTACGCTGTCATTTCTATCTGGCAGCGGCGGAACAAGCGTCGTTGGCGGCGTCACCGCCGTCTTCTTTTCCGGTCGGGGAAACGATCTTTGATCGATCTTCGTCAAGGCTCCCAATGCCCCAATTTGATTAAACGACCCGCCCAATGGCGGAGTCACACTGTACAACTTAATCTATTGTGCTGTTCGGAGCGCAAATGGGCCGTGGCGTTGACACTTTAAAGATAGTATGCGCCCGCCCGACGCCCACCCGCCCGCTTTCTCGTTCGCCGGACTTGTCCGACCGAGCAGATTCCCGTCGGGCTTCCCGTCTGAGCTCCGAGACTGTTTTGTTCCATTTTTCCCGTGATTGCCTCGGGATTCACTGATTGAGTGCCGATCTAATCGACACTTGTCTGATCGATTGCTTCAACGATAGCTTTAATGGCAAACATGTCAAACTCCCAGTCAAGCAAGCAGACAGCGATCGAGCGAGTGCGCTAGCGGGCGTTCAGTCAGCGAGACTGTTTAGATCTGTCGATTGCTCTCATGACGGCGGCGATGAAAGCGGATGATGATGATGAGGACCACGACCATGATGGCGGTGCGCCAATTCAAACGGCATCGGTGAACAACAAACAATTCATTCGCAGAGCCAATCAAGGAGTAATGGTCCATGCCAGCGGAGTTCAATTTTTTAAAACGAAGCCAGTCGTCACTGCTATTCGAGCGAAGTCAATTCGACAGCATGCATCACTGCTGAACAGCGAACGATCAACGCAACGATTCTGGCGTATCGTGTTCCGATCCGATTAGACGACTCGTTCGACAGCAATTCAAATGAGCTCGTCGCGAGCGATGTCAACACGAACGAACCGCCGAACGACTTCCTTCTACAGCGAACGTTTGAGCGCAGGTGTTTAGTTGGCTGCGTCCAACGTTCCGTCCATAGCCCGGAGTGGTTTCTCTGCGGCTCCAGCTGTTTTTGTTTCTTCGGCTGCATTCACTCGAGGATCCTTTTCCCCGTCGTCTTCCTCACTCGGCCGAGACCCTCCTTGCGGAATATCTAACACTCTTAGAAACGATCGAGGTCACTCACCTTGCACATGGTTTGTCCAAAAATCCAATCACGGATGGTCATAGTCGTTATGAGGAACGGAAGTCCGGTGAGAAACATTTCGTCGGCAAGTGCCAGATTGAAAATGTACATATTGGTGACAGTCTGCATTTTGGAGAAACGGAGCACAACATAGATCACGAGGGTATTTCCACACAGGCCCACGATCCAGATGATAAAATAGAGGATTGTCGTGAGACGGACCATCGTCAGCGGTGCTTCGGTGTTGCTGAACTCCATGAGCGTGCAGTTGGAGATCAGGTGTTTCACCTGCGAATCTTCCAGCTTCAAATCGAGAATTTCGCTCGAGTTGAATTTGCCGCTGGTGCAGTTGCTGAACAGCTGCAACAGTAGGTCCTGGTCGAGTCGAGGGCTCAGATCGCCGCTCGAGTCGTCTGTCAAATTATGGATCATCGATGCAACCATCGAGCCATCCATGTTTCAAGCGGATCTGCCGTTCGCTCTTGTCTTTTTTTTTTTCGGTTTACTCAGCTCGATGTCGTTGCCGACGGTGTTGCCACGCGTTCGACTAGGCTGTCAAGGTGAAGATTATCACACGATCGTTAGCGCTTCATTCACATCACTTATCGAGTTTGTTCAAACTGATGGAAAGAGTCTCGCCCGCCGGGCTTCCAGTTTCTGGCAGATGCCGTCGATTTCGTCTCCCACAAACTTTGTCTTCGACGAGACCGAACCTCGACCCACCGTAAGACACACAAAACTAACGAGTGAACGAGCGGTTAGAGCGCCTTCGCTCCCGGCAGTCGGATGAGTCTGTCTGTACGTAAGAGCCGGCATCTCAACCTCGTGTTCAGTAGGGCCCTCGCCGTGTCCCTTCCCGACTGTAGGGCCCTTTCCTTCACAGCCAGTCAGTGCCTACCCGCCCGTCTGCCTGCCTGCCTATAGACCCGCCTGTTTGCCGGCGGGCCGGCCGGCTAACGGCTTTCCCGTGGACTACCGGTGGCTATCTCTTTCCTTTGCGACTAGAATTCTCGCCCGCTTGTTTGCTTGTCCGGGTAGCATGAAGTCGGCCCCTCTAACACGGGCGCCGAGCTAGGCCTCTAGAGGCTGTTGCAAGGGTCTCGCTTCTTATCCGGGAGGTTGTGGTAGCTGTCTGTCGTGTACTCGCCCGGGAGAACCCCTCTCGTTCCCAGAACTTCGGGCCCTGTGATCTGTAGAGGACACCTAGTTAGAAATTCACGGCTGCAGCCGTCACAATTACCGTGTCGGGCTCCTAGGCGCTAACTGCCGGGTACGACGGTCGCTTCAAGTTCCACGAAGCGCCTTCCTGCTTGAAGGCTTGCTTCTTGGCCTTTTCCGACTCCTCAGCACTCAGCTGGGGATAGAGGACGAAAACCAGAGGGAAGTGAGCGATCCGATAGAATCCAGAGAAGAGTAGAGATAATCCAATTCCATCGATTCCCAATTTTGTGCCTAGGGAATGAATATGGATGTTTAATAAATGATAATAATTTAATAATTATTGGAAATTATCATAGGAGAAGAAAGTTCGCTGTGCTGGCTGGGGCTATTCAATCTCGGTGAGCAAGATCAAAGAATACCGTGAATGCTTTGTGACGACGATAAACACGAATAAGTGTGCATACGCGGCATCGTGCCACTTACGTCAGGAGCATCCTCACATCCGTTTGAAGTGGAAGATTACCTCGACGGTCTTGCTGCGGCCGGCCACGGCGCGATTGAGTTAGCGAACTCGCTGATTGCAACCTGGTCTGGCTTCATTTCCTGGTGGCTATGTGGGCAGGAGGGCTCCTGTGGGCGCAGAGGATCGCACACAGCAACAACAACAACGACGACAGCATCTCATCATCACCATTCCGATAGAGCGAAGCTTCATTGAGAAATTCCTCCACATCATCAGCTGAGCGGAGAAAGCATCCGATCGGGGAGCGATCGATCGATTGGGCGGGCGAGCAGACAGGGTAGCCGATCGGCGCGGCGGCTGAATGCATGATTGATCGTCGTATCGCGAGAGCAGCGAATTCGCAAAATACGAGGGCGGTCACGATAAACGTGACTTGTTCTGCACGCCGTCGTGCGATGAGTTCGAAGCAGCGGATATCGAGGAGGTTCGAGATTGGAATTGCAGAGTCAGACAGTCCGACAGTCTCACAAGATGAGCCCATCACAATCCCTGCGCTCCAGGCCGCGATCGTACCCACATCCAGACTTCGCTCGTACAAATACATGTTTTAATCTACGCACAGCGGATCGGAAGCGCCCTATCGCTGCACCACGAAACTCTCCTGAACCTTCGGGGCTCCATGTATGTATGATGATATGATGATAATTCATGAATTATTCAGTTGGATGATTGGTCATGTCATGAACGATGTCACACACTCATCCTCGCCGAGATTGAGTTGTTCAAAGGAATCAGAACAGCCTCGCTCCCGAGGAACTTCCGGAATATTCTTCGGAGCACTCGCCAAGCCCCTGGTACCTCGTAGAAGGCTCTGATAGAAAATTCACTCGCCGAGGATAGGAAATTCAGAAATCCTCCAGGAAGCCTTCCATGCTGGCCATTTTCTCTCCCCCGTCTAACCCACGCTTCCCCACCGAGCTGGAATGACTCTTCGGAAGCGATGCACCATCATATGTCTCACGATGAATCCATGATCGAATAGGTATGCGTCATTGTATGACTCAGATGGATCTTGATCTATTCATTTCGGGTATCTAGTATGCCGTGCCGGGGGTCGGAGGAACGTCGGGTTGGTATGACCCGGAAAGTACGCTGAGGATATCAGCGGTTCGGGACCGCTTGGGGCTCGCCCGTTTTCTCGCCGGGAGAGGAGTCCACGGCGCTCCCAGGTATATAAAATACAATAAATTCTTTGTGACGATCTATCTAATGGCTACAATATGATCATCGCGAAGCCTCACGGGGGGAAAGCCGGGGATGCCTACTCTCGGCACACAGCTTCGTTCGCGCGGGAGGCGTTTGGAGAGCTACCCACGCCACGCCTCACGTGCATATGCCGCGTAAAACGAGACTCCGCAAAATCGATCCATCCAAAAGTTGAGGCATCGAAGGTTTATGAGCTCGATCCCAATGGAGTCGGGAAGAAACTTTGGCCTGCACCAGGAGTATTCTGACGTAAAGGCCAGAGACGTCCGAATTACGCCGCGAGTAAATAAAGAACTCTCACGGAGACGAGTTCGCGGGTGGGCTCGTGATGATACACATACGTACGCAAGCAGCTGGCCGGCGGGCTTCGACGTCTAATCTTCTCATGATACAGCTCCGGCAATGCGAGCGGGCGAATATGCGAAATATCCGCTGGGTTTCGTGGCTTCCTGGTGCAGCCTTCGATCGATAAGGTTTGCGTGCAATGGTCTAGCCCGAGAGATCCTTCACACACTCGAGGGTCTCCCCAGTGTTTATGTACGTTTCTTCCGCGATTCATTAAGCAACTCGGGTATCGCTGCCCAGTGGCTGCGCTGCCTCCTCTCTGCATCTCTCGGGACTCTTCCTGTAACCGTCTCACGATCTCATCGCCTTCCGTACAGATCGATAATGAAATAGACATTTCATGGAGCGATGAAGTTCGATTTTGCGCGGGTGACGGCACTCGCTCCACCGACCAAAGCCTTTTCGTAGGGAATCCCGACAATAATCTTTCCGGAGATCGCGAGCCGGCAGCCGATAGCTTTCTAGATTTTTATTCGAGAAGAGCTTCACAACACACGGTGAGCCGTTGTCAGTCGCTGAGTCGGTTCGGTGAGCATAACACACATCCATCCTCCGCGCGTTGAGCTCTGCCAGCGGCTTTGTTTTCCCTCGAGAGTATCAGTCTCATTCATATTTTTGCCAGGCTTGCTCTGTCAGACATCGTCCTCAATAGCCGTCTCCGTTGTGCACCAGATACGTCGGAATGTACCTCGCGCCCAGAAAACCATTGGGAGGGTGCTTGGCGCTAATCTATGGCCGATTCAGCGGTCGACGATTCGAGGGCGAATCTCACTGCCGTTTCCAATCCGAGTTCCGACGAGTGAATAACATTCTTTAGAAGGCTGACCGGCATCCGCGAGGGAACACAGCTCCCCGATTCGCTGTTTTCTTTCCGCCTACTGTGGAGCATAAAACTATTTCCATTCTGACTGAATCTTCCCTCCGCTGAGCCCAAAAATCGTGGGGTCCGGCTTCAAGGAAATTCTCATTTGGGGAGACGTGTTCGAGACGCTCCGATCCTAAGTTTTTTGAAAGAATCAGCGGGTCTTCTCACTGAGGTGAGAGCAAAGCCTACACACTCTTCGACGGACGAATGAGATACGTTGTTCCGTTTTCATCTTGTTCCCATGTTGTAGGTGGGGATATATCGCATTCGATGCTCCCTAGCGACTCCCCTCAATTCTCCTTTCGCCGCCGCCTTTCGAGAGGCTCGAGTCTAGAGCTGATGTAGGACGCTTCCAATTATTGAGGATCGACGTGGGGCCGGGGGCTTTCCCCGCCTTATTCGCTACCACACATGAGTTCCTGCTCACCCTTCTCTAGCTCTTAGTTCTTGATCGCAGCTGAGATTCTTCCACATTCACTTTTCATTCGAATCCGGCGCCGATCCGGAAATACTTCATGGATCAGAGAGCTGCCCTGGAGGCGATAGTTCCCTAGAGCTCTTGGAACATTTACCTGACGTATCCTATCACATATTTAATTGTAATTGTGGAATTTCCTATTGGGTGCAATGCCGGCATATAGGATGAACTGGATTTCGCCGCGCTGCAACGGAGTATATCCGATGTTCTCCATCCGGAATCATGCACGGGTCAGCTCGGGATACATGCAGAATAAATAAATAAATAAATAAATATAAATAAATAAATAAATAAATTGTCGTGTTTGTCCTCGTCTGTTTCCATTTTTAACGCGCCACCGCAGAAGCTCGTTCAGCGGGGATGCGGGTGCAAATCCGAGGGAGCAACGGCCCGATAGTGTTACGCCGGCGAAAGTCCGAAGTATGATCCCCAGGCTCAGGTGTTTTTCCGCTGTCAGTCGAGAGATCAACGTCAGACCGTGATCATGGGAAAATATCCATCTAAAAATATTCAGTAGGACGCGCAGTTTCCACGCGGAGCGCTCGAATCTCTTCAAAAACTTTCGATGGAGCCTCTTTTTCACAGATAGTCTCTGGCAGCTTTTTGATATCGGCAAAGTAATGCACATACATTGTGTTATTATAGAACTGCGTCCGTTGTCGTCCACGTAGGAGCACGTGGTCCCCGCCGACGAGACTTTTGCATCATGCTTCAAAAGTGCACGATGTGGAGTCGCGTATGCCGTGTACGACTATGCACCGACATGGTGACAAATTAACCTTGCTCCCTCGATCGTGATGCCGCAGCCGCGGAATAGACTAATCGGCGAAGAGACGCTCTGTCTAATCACGGACAGCGACTCCCGTCATTTTCCGGTTGATGCAGTTGAATACGCCAAAAACGTGCCGACCACCTACATGATTCCGTGATTGAGACAGAAGAGGTGTATCGGGTCCCCAGATGACCGTCGAGATTCTTTTTCCACTCTGGGAATTGTCATTACGCAAAACGACGAGACTTTGAGGATTTCAAAGCAGGCGAGGAGAGGGTCAAGACGGAATCCCGTCGGACTCTCGGAGATCTTTCCTTTTGCCTCCCTTAGAAAATCGGCTCACGCAGTGAAGAATCGCGGGTCTAATTCGGAGCATGATGACGGAACGAAAGCGGCACTCATTGAGAGCAGAGCCGAATCATCGACGACATCACGTCTCCTCTTTTCTGACGAGTCGACGGTATCGCTGCAAAGAGCGCTCCGAATCGTACCTTAGACATCGTTCCACCCCGAGGATTGAGTGCAGAACTCCGAAACTCTTCTCTCGTACCTCCGGGTTGAGCAACATTTTCCGGAACATCTGTCAAAACGGAAGTCACATATCAAGATTTTTCTGCCCTCCGGGATTCCGCGCCCAAATTTCATTAGTAAGGTGCTGAGCTAGGCTCCCGCTCCCTTCAACCGGGGTCGAAAACACAGGACGGGAGGCGGAATGCAGACGATTCGCTCCTTAGTTTTCCTGTTTGTAATTAGATTATTGCTCTCCAGGCGGAGGATCAATCTACTGCACGCCTCCTTCCCCAGCCCTCGACGTCGAGCTCTGCAGAGTCCACCTTCGGTTTCGCGCCTCTCGATCGCTCCATTTGCTCTCTCCTAGCTCGCGCAGTCGACGGCGAACTCTGCGGTCGGTCTCCGTGCTTGCCAGAGTGATCATAGAATGATCCTCACAAGCGAACTCTGTCGCCGTACAGCCATGCGAAGCATGTGCTGTCCGAAGACCGACACTTGCCGAATTCTTTCTTTTCCCTCGGAGGCGACATTGGATAGAAACCGCCATCTTGAGATTGGAAGGGAATGAATAGAGACATCCCCTCCGCGGAATCGTAGAGGAGGAGCCGCATTCCGGATCGGTAGACAATGGAGAATGCTGATTGAGCTTGCGATATGGAGTTCCCCAGAGCATTGGTGCTCATCCCCTCAACGACATGGTCTCCTTCTGTTCTATGTACGTTCCGTCTGGCTTGTTTCTAATAATGCGTGAACTAACTCCTCGTCGAGCAGAACTTGCAGCCCTCCCAGACGATAGCATTCGCTCCAGAAATCCCCGCACTTAATCTCCCGGAATGTCGAAATGAATTTCACACGGGAACGTGGAATCGTTTTCCACAGACTCGCGTACGCTGCTTTCTAAGTCGAATGAAATTGCGAGGTTTCGTTGCCGAGCACAACCGCCGGAGTCGTTCCTGCATCCGACACGTTCCATCAGCCACGGTCTCCTTCCCCAAATCCTGAGTCGCAGGCACAATACCTGACAAGTTTCGCTAGGAGCGCGGGAATGCCGTCGAACAACGTTCAGTCTGTGATCCCGCTCACTAGGCCAACGGCTTAGGCTCAACCCACGGAGCGGTCGTTCCGGAGGCTTTTCCGACGGCGGATAAACTCGAGACAAAAAACAAGGAGCAGACTCAATCAGGAATCTCAGAGGAGATTGCCATTCGTTCCGTAGCCTGTTGTTGTCCGGGTCGCATCCATATCTCCTGCAGGCATTTCTGATGGCTGGGATCCTGAGGGAACGTCGATATAAACATGTCGAAGTGTCTTCCGTCCATCAGACAGCTGACCCTTAGGTTGGGGAGCACTCCCGTCCGAACGGCTGAGGGGGCCTCTGGGGCACGGATTGATCCGTTTCTTCCGTATCTGTGATGAGGAATTCTTTCACCAGAAGCTCAGTGAGGACAGAAAAGAACTACGACTCAGTCACTTACTCAGTAAGCCAGTCTGTCGGTCGGTCGGTCCGTCCGTCCGTCCGGGGAGGGAAGGAGCAGTCCCCCTCGACTCCTTTGGAACGAGGTCGTGCACAGCATACTAACGAGGAGCCCCAAGCTTGTCGGCGGGCGGAGGCAGAGCCGTCGTCTCGGGCCCTTGACACAAACGCGGAGCTTTTTAAGCCACTTCGAAGTGCGGCGAATAATCATGACGAGTCGAAACGTCTCCGAAACGATACACTTTGTATACTTCCGGACTCGACTCACGTCGATGGGAAGCAGACAGCAACGGCCGATTCTCGGCAGAGCCCTCGAACCCCACTCGTGGCTTGCCTTGGGCGTGAATGAAATCACCGCTCAATTACCAGAATAGATAGTCATGCAATAATCCGGAGAACTATTGGAAGAGTCGCTCGCGGAGCTGAGAAAGATTCATGCGCGAACTTCGGCTCGATATAAATTAAACTTCCGGCTCTGGAACGCATCGACCGTAAAACGGCCTGCTCGAATCGCGGAAGCCAAATGCCTCAACACTCGTTTTCCGTGGACGCGAAGAACAACGCGTAAGTTCGCCGCGAGACAGCCGATGGAAATTCATCCCGTAGAGCATCCTCAAGCGTGTTCAAGCGAGAAACTTCTATTCCATTGATGCACCCAGAAGTCAATCAATTCTCCTTGAAGTCCTCTATTTTCTGAAAACTTTTCTCTACAGGAGTCATTTTTCAAGGGAGCTGGTGAAAGCAACTCCCGCGGAAACGATTCGTCCCGTACTGGAACTGCAACCATGGTTGAGAAACCTCGGTCCACCCTTTCTGTTCCGCTGACGGGTCGAAGGCCTAGGACGCGCGTCGGCGGTACCATGCTCACCGAAGTGACTGTCAAAAGGATCAAGAGCGTCTCGGAGGAAGGAAGATAGATCGCTGAACACAATAACGCTATTAGATTCGACGTAACCGAGGAATAGATGGCCTGAAACTGATATCTCACATATACAGACGACTAGACAGACAAAGGGGTCAGTTGGCGCCGGCAACCGCCGTAAACACGTAGCAAGCGTTCGGTCGTTGCCTCAGAGGCCAGCCAGACTGATCAAACCAGGTGCGGTCGTTAATTTCAGTCGTGAGGGATATCAAACCCAGTCTCGAGCTTGTAGCAATCTCAAAGCAGACAATATCGCTGGCAGGAGGATATCGAATGAACTGTGTACTATATCGTCGAGGAGAAAGAACGGAAATCAGACCATCAAACTAAATGATCGCCGAAGCGACTCTTGTCGTTCGAGGAAACGCTACGAGGCGGAATTATTAGCGGGGAAGTTCTCCATGTCCGGCTCCTTGAATCGCCAGGGCAATCAGGCGGGGTCCATGACTGGCTCGGACGTACCGTAAAGAGGTTTGAGCGAGGCTCACGACCTCAGGCTCGGAGGCGGGAAATTCACACGAAGATTGAAAGTTCTTCAGACATCCTGATCGTATGAAGCGTTTTACGATACCTCGTCGGCCTTGCTTCCGCCCTGAAAGCAGTATCCAAGGGCCCTGCACAGCGGGCCACCTTGGCTGAACAAAAGAATGAGTGAACGGACGAGCGGATGAATAATTGAAAGCGGGAATGACCACCTATATGAGTTTGTGCATTGTCTACTAGTCGCTTATATCTTGTGCTGGTGAGCTGCTCGGAGGCGGCAGAGGACGTACTAGGCGTGGACGAGCACTGAACTGAACTCGGCGACGTCGCCGAAAGCTGTCAGCCGACTAGACCTTATTTACGAGCTGGTATTCGATGTTGCTCGAACGGATTTGCGTCACGCCTCTCACTCAGACCCCAAGTTTCGTCAGAGGATTAAATTGCTTCGAGTCAAGCGTGCCCGCCGTCTGCCTAACCCGCGTGCCTGAGAGATGGGAAACTCAGAGAGAATAAACCTTCGGATAATGCGTAAGATTGTGAATACAGTGGACGTTACCCGAAGGGATTACGTCAGAACCAGATCGGAGAGCTCCGATTGAGCCTGGCACGCGATAATCTCGATTTTCCAATAAAGCGGTATCCCAATGAGAAATTTCAATAAACAGACAAATCGACGCAAAAGGCCGAGATCGCGAGGTCCATCAGATCAAGATAAGGAAACAGGTATCCTCCGCGGGCTTCCTAGCGAGGATCGAGACTCAGGATGGGGGAGCTGAGATTTTGTTTCTTGATGATAAGACGCGCGGATGAACCCTCCCGGAGGAAAAGCTATCGTGCCCCACATGGCAGGTGTTGTCAGCTCTGGAATCTTGATTAAGTAATTTATATTCTCATTAAGCTTCTGGGTAGACTGGAGAGCCTTTCGCAGAGTATGTACGCAGATAGGCGACAGTGTGGCTCCAGGGCTCTTCCAGCTTCTACAAGCTCCAAAGTGGGCATTCTCACTGATATCGGTTTCTGCGTACAAACCCGTTGCTCGACTTTGTTCGGAACTCTTGACACATCCGAAATGCCTCGCACTACTTCCACAGCTTGGGACGAGTGTTCGCTACAACGTTGCAAGAGCCAGCTGCTGTATTCTATAAATCCCCAAAGAGGACAAGTTTCCGAAAACTCGTTTCTCCAATAAATTTCATCTCTCGCCAAGCGTCGATTTCCATCGACATAAATACAGATTCGGGTCCGCTTCAGTCTCTCAACGGGATATTCAAGACTCATAGAGATGTGAGAGCCTCACTAGAATCGAGCTACCTTCCGATCGCGCGTCTTTCACCTCTTCTTCGCCCGGCACGAAGAGGAAGAAGCGAGTGTGCGTGCCAACGGCGCAGCGTCGAGTTTTCGGGTCTATCCTTGGAGAGAGAAGTGATCCTGATCGCTCTCCCAACGAGTCAAACGGAGGTATCTTTCCGATTTGGGGAAGAAGAAACCCCCGCTCCGGGGGGAATCTCCTTCAATGGAGTTCGGTTTCGACCAGCGGAACCCGAGAGTTCTCATTCGTCTAATGAGAGTACGTACTACCCCTTGAAGGAATTGTGCGGAGCTGCCTCGGCCATCTGCGACCCCAATGACGGACATTTCGGAACTCCTTGGGAGATCTAGACACCTAGACGAGTCGCTCATCTACTTGGAACGAGACGAGTAGGTCGTGTGATAGAGGAAAGCTGACTAGCTGACTGCCCAAATTTGAGATGCTCCCCGAGTTATTATTCGAGAAGCATTCGGTCAGTTTCTCTCAGAGACTCTATCTTCGGCTCCAGCATTATCGGGAGGGAATCTTATGAGCTCGGAAGTCGCTTCGACCGGGTTTGCCGATGACTCCGGGGGAAGCTCGACCTGCTCGGGCGGCGAAGTCAATTTATATTGTTCTTCCATCTATTTTATATAACATATTTATGTTGCCCCACCGTCCAGGAGACTGCGCTGAGGGCTGGTGACTGATATGTCCGATGAAGCTCGAGGGCCAGACGGACGACCGAAGCCGGAGGCTGCTCACCATTTTAGTTTTCGGGGAATGTGATCACCGCTTCCATGTGGTAGCGGAACGATTCGGGAAATCGGAGAGCCTGTCTGGAACATTGGGCTGATGGGGAATATTCATGACGACAAATATATTCAAACATTCCTGGCGACACTGGAAAGGGACCTGCCGCGGAGACGATGAAGGATGAATCATAAAAAACCGAAGTCTCAGATGCGAACGATGTCTTGATGATTGGGCTTTTTTCCACTCTCCATTAAAATAATTTTGATGAATAGATCTGGCAGCCCTGGCTGCTAGCAGAAACATATGATAAAGAGCTATCGCAGAGTTTTTATCCCCTGTGATTGATTCGAGCGTCACCAGAAACGTTGATTTATGGTCAATGCCCAAGCAGAACGACGGTTTCCGCCATCAGGAATGAGAGACTACACTCTAGGACGCGCGGGTAGGATAGCCCGACCGGCCTCATGGGACTAACTCGTGGTGTAGAAATTTCAGCATGAGAAGATGTTATCCGATCATCCATAGGTCGTCTTGAGTCTTCCACACATGGAAGATGTTCTGTGGGCTCGTGTGCTTGGATGAGGATCCGATTACTATGCTACGATACTGGCTCCCGGAGACATCGACGCTCTGCAATTTCCCCAAGTTTCTAGCTCAGGTCAACACGCAATTCTCATTCCAGCGCTCTGGGAGTAGAACAGCTGACGAACGGCACGTGGGCTGCCGCAGACTCAGGTCTATCCTGTTCTTGGATAACTGAGCCAGAAGACAGACATCGGAACAGATATATTTCACTTCTGGTAGAGCTTGGCTAAAGGTGCTGCTCGAGGACGCGGCTCGGAATATCATCGTATCGTAGGCATATTCAATCGGAATCACCGGTTCTGCTGAGCTCTTCCCGCCTGCCTAGGAACTGCAGTTCCTCAATTCGTTCGACTGCGTGTTTGCTTCGCGGGGTCTTCCGTGGCCAGTTTCCCCGGCTCTGCGACTCCACCCCGATGAGATCCAGAAATTATGAAATGGATTCCTTTTGTCTGATGGGCGGTATATCCTTTCAATATCGAGAGATTTACAAGAATGAGATGTAGCACGGACAATCGGAGTAGAATTATGATCATGAATGGGTTTGGAGCGAAGATTAGACCATCGGACCTCTTCCTCGCGCTCCGACTCACGGTTAGGAGGATAAGGAGAGAGAAAACGAAATCACTTCTGAGTGTACTTCACAATAAGGTAGAAGATCATGTGTTTATTATCGTAAAATCCTCGCTCCCAAGCGCGAGGAGGAGCCTCATTCGCTCCTGGATGCGATCGATACTCGACTCTGAAGACGAAATTATACTTTTTTTTGGATTATTTTTCTCTTTCTCTTAAAATATATCGAACCCAAATACATCCAGCATCGAGGCAGAAATGAGAAACTCGAGCCTTACTACAGCGAGAGACAGAGAGAATCTTCGACTTTGATCTGAAAGTCCGGCGAATTTCGGCTCATCGCCGTCCACGACGAGGGGAGCCTCGGGAAGGCGCGTATCACGATTTTCCCAGCCTTCCAACTCTGAGAACCCTCCTCCTCCTCCGATCAGCCTCCTGAGAACAAAGCAGCCGCAGCGAACCTGAGACGAAAACAGGTGTCCTTCGCACTGAAGCTCCTCCACTCTGCCTCTCATCGATTATAACCTGATCCTTATACCAGTACCTATTCATATATTGTTTGAGGCTCAAAATCACAACATGGTACATCTACTTCATTTCGGTTTCTTGATCGCTGGCCGACACCCGAAACGTGGCCGACGCGATCACTCGTCGAGGAAGATTTTCACTATACAGACGGCTGCAGAGGCGGTTTTTTGGGACTTCAAAGTTCACCTTTCGACCCGCTCGCCGAGTTGTAGGGATGAAAAACAGACAAACGCAGGTATTATGAAATCCATGAACATACGCAAGGGAATCGAATATTGCAGAAAAGAAGGGAAGCCCGCGCGAGGTTTCGCCGGGATCGGTCTCGGTCCGGCGGAATTCTGACGGAATCTCGGTGCTGCCCATTATCGAGTGTGGACAAGAAGGGACAATATACGAAACAGCTTGAAAAATGAAGCTTCTGCGCAGACGTACGTATATTATATTTCTCATCGGTAACCAAAACCACATTAGTAAAAGATGCTCCAATAGCTGACTCTTATCACCCTTGGGTTTCATCATTTCGTTCTCTCTTCATCCCATTTGTTTGTCCCAAAAGCTCTTCGATCACCTCTGGAATTGTTCCCCCTCCATTCTAAGTCGTTATTGGCAGTTTTTCGGTGGAATTTCATTCATAAGCATCGTCCACTCTCCCCGGATATCTGGAGACGCCCATTTCAGTCGTTTCACTTTTACACGAATCTTAAACCTCGGGGTTCCCGTGGAACTCCCAACCTCGGTCGAAATTTGCGTTCGCCGTTGACGAACTCGAAGGTCCCAGCATTGGTTACAGTGGATATTTTGAACTTCTCTCGCGACCCACTCCAGCTCTGGGATCAGGTGAGCATAGCTTATCCATGTTTCAAAAATCGCTTCTCGCGGAATCCTCGCTCAAGGAAGCTCTTTCGAATAAGCGCGTTCCGGAACATCTATCTCGATTGCCTTATCGTGACTCGGACTTGTCACGATAATCGACCAATTCTCTTAGCAAAGAATCTACAAATTGTTCAATTAAGAATCTAACTGCGCCACGATGATCACTTCCCCATTCTCCCCTTGGCTTTGTCACAATTACCACGCCATCATGACTTGATTTTCGCCACAATAAATCCCTATCTGCTCGTCCCCCTAGGAGGAGCAAGCTTTCTCTAGGGAAGGTCGCGTGGGGTAACTCACGGTTTTTGCTTGGTAGTGTACAAAAAGCAAGAATTGAAAAAAATATACATTCTCGAAATCCTGGGGCAAAAAGTTTGAAAGAGAGCGGGCAGCTCCGAAGCACCTTCGTCACTGAATCACTGAGAGTTTTGTGGAGGCTCGTCCATGGGAACTGTAGGACTCGGATAAGGATAGGCCTCACGTCTACGTAACGGCGGAGCTCCTCCGACTGCTCCTTCCTCGTTCTGAAGTGCGGCTTCGGCGGCATTGGCAGCTCCGTCAGGCATCGCAGCCGCGGGTGGCACCGGACCATCGACAGCGACCTGTCTGACCGGACCCGCGCCCTGCGACGATGCTCCTAATGGTCCCTCGAGTCGGCCATCGGCCACAACGGTATCAAGATTTGTGATGGATTTCGAGCGCACGCATTGAAAATCGACGTGCCGTGACTTGGCTTCTTCCTTCTCCCATGACATTCTTATGAAAGGTCGCTGCACGTAATTATAGATCACTTCGGCCCGACCTCCGGGACGTCGCTTGATTTTCTCTTTGTAGGTGGGATATCCCTCGATACCCAGACGGATCTTCTTGAGACCGCGTTCCTTCAGCACCTGTCGACAACAATCACAATAATTATTATTGAATCATTCATTATAATTTTAGTCGGGGATGTCATGGAATTCGTCAGATCGGCTCGTAGAGAGATCTACCAGTCTCCGGGCCAGAACTCGGGGCTTACCGTTTTAGCGACGTCCCTGTTCTCGATATACTTGAAAAAGCGATACAATGTAGTGGAATGGACTATCTGGCTGTACTCTTCGCCCGTTTGCGGTGGGTATTCCTCGTCCCAGTCGACCACGTCGTCCTCTAGCAGCACGACGATGTGACACTCTCGGTCGCCTCTATGAGCCGACACGACCATTGCAGGTAAGATGAGGTCTTCGAGAAATCGTTCGAATTGCTGGCGCGCGCCCTCGTTCGAAAGCTCGTGTAGCAGACCACGCAGATTGTGGCATTTGACGGTGGATGCGTCGAAGGGAACGAGGAAATAGTCGCAGGCTTCCCGCAGCTCGGACACGGTGACCGATGGAGGACACTGAATCACCCCCGACTGATAATGATCGAGGATAGCCCGAAATACGGCAGCGGAAATTCCCTCGCAGAGCTCGTACTCGCCGTGATCGTTCGGTCGAGTGATGTTGTTCTCGAGGGAGGATCCGAACATGCGTCCGAGCATGGTATCGGGATGCTGCGTAAACAGGGCGGGGTCAACGATGAAGCGCGTGTTGTCAACAACCAAAGTCAAGCGTTGGTCCGACGACGCGTTCTGCAAGGGGATGAGGGGTCAGGATTACGTATCATGGAAAAAATTATGACTGCGGTAAAGAGAATCGAGACCACGCTCACTCTCCATAATATCGTATGACCATGGGCTAGAAGACGTGATGCAAATGTGCGCGGAAATGGATGACGTTCGGGGAACATAAAATGAAGAGTTGGAGAATGCGGGCTCCCAGACGAGTATTTCGCCCCCGGTAGAAATTTTATCTTCCAGGAAAATACAAGAGGGGGATCTACTCACCGTGTGGGTCTGTTGGGATGTCGTCCGCGGAGAATTGCTCGCCTGGTCGGGTTGCTTAGGCCCCGGGCTCGCATGGCTGCTCTCAGTACTCGAGCTACTGGAACTCATGCCCCGGGCGCTGAGTCTTTGCACGCCGGCACCTGTCGTCGTGACCGTGTAGCTTTTAGCTCGTTGTCCCTGATGCGGAGGCATCTGTATGATTTGGATATCTCGTCGGCCCTGTTCGCCCGCGGAACTCGCTCCACCCTCGTCGCTGCGACTGCCTTCGTTCCGGAGGCAGGGTTTCAACTTCGGCTGACTGTAGCCCTGGCCTCGCTGTTTGAAGATCGCTCTCCGTTGGCGAGAGTCGTTTTCAGTTTCGTCCGACGACGAGTTGTCGTACGATGAAGTAGCGCTCACTCTACGGTCTCGGTGGTCCTTCAGAGGTCTTCCTCCGGAACTAGAAGCCATTCCACTACACGCGGTCTGGCCCACCCTGAAGCGCGGTTCGAAACTCCCGAGTTTCAAATATGTTCACTTCGCGACGACTCCAGCTTCAGCCGATATTTGAGGGTTCGTCGCCGTGATTGCTCCGTGAGCTTCCGTGCCTGGGATTCCCCCGTCAAACAACGCTGACTTCGCCTGCCTCAAGGGCGATCCAGCTCCTTCGCAGCTCCTGGAGAGAGAAAACGTCCTATTGTCATACATCGAGGAACTTCGTCCACCAGGAGATCACCGTACGCGGCAATCGTGCACGGAACACATTCACGTGTCATTTTCATTGTTCCGGATTTTTTCCGAGTGCGCATCGCCGATCGGATGTCAATTTCACTCGTCGGCTCGAGCAGCATTCGAGTCACAGACAACGAATTACTTTTCCTGAACCGCGTCGATCGCAAGCTGACCCAGTTACTCTGTTTCTTTTCTCAATCATCGCCAGTCACATACCCTTCCGTTTCCACAGTTCAGGTGGAAGAATCGGCGCGACGTTGTTCACATCACGTAAACCACCGGGACAGGGTAGCTCGACAGACAAACTAGCCGGCTGATAAATATACATGTTCAAAGTGGAGCTGTCAAGATAATGTTCCTTCGAGCGAATCTCGGTAGCCTGTTTGTGCTTTCGACCCTTGTCCCGCTGGCAGGTGAAATAACTTGCCAACTCCTCTATACTTGGAATGCCATCTGCTCTACCACCGTAGTTTCCGATCGCATGGAAATTCCGCACCATAGCCCTACGTGAGCAGATGAGCGGGAGAACTTCGATTTCCGAGAGAAAATACGACAAGCAACCAATCGATGAGGTCGTCACACCGATGATTAATAGAGCGTCTGTCTACAGCGGATCGAATGACTCCATTCACGATATTGGGTTTCGATATCTGGAAATATCCGCCGAAGACCAGCCGTAATCTAACACCCTTGGACGTCACATATCGGCTCAATACCCGAACAGGCGACAAGCGATTTTCCGTCGCTAGAGCTCAGAAAGAGTTTACACTAGAGGGGCTCGCGATGGCGTCACACGACGATCGATCAACTTGCGGGGGACCTCGGAACTTCTTCATAGACTATTTCGGGGTACGACTCAATATCCGGCCCTAATTACCACCACGGCTCAGAACTCGGGTCCGAGGGCAGAACGCGCAAGTGTGTCAACACTCACGGAACAGGCGACGGAAACAGTGTTCGGTTTTGATTGTTTCGTGCTTGCTGCATCGCTGATTCGCCGAATGTCCCACTTGCGAGGCGCGCTTCGAAGTCGTCTGATGAGTAATTGAGGAACTCGACTTGCAAATCAGCGAACTTGCCTCGGAACGGAGCTCCCACGGTCCTCAAGGATACATGCGACGTGCTGAGAGATCCAGACCGGCTCAAGCGACTCGGAAGCTCTTCAGAATGTCGTATACACAATTCACAGGCTCCAGTGATAATCTCAATAATCTGCCAGATGAGGCCTATTCCGATCGCAGCTCAAATAGGAGCGGAATTACCCACGGGAGATCGCAGGGCCGATCGATATTCTAATTCTTTCGCTAGCATGGATTATTCGAAGGCCAGAACGGCGGCCAGGATCATCGCTTCGATCTCGAACAGCAGGGAAGAATTTCCGGGGCGCATCGTTAACCTCGCTCGAATGGAAGGACCTCAATTAGCAACTTCTGGCAGATTGCAGCGCGTTTTGTCTTGAGAAATCGGAGCTTGACATTGGTGACAGCAACCGGTAACATTGTGTCACGACGCGTTATACGAACTCTGACAAATGCTTTTGAGATGAGCCGCAGGAGTCGCGATACATCTTGACAGAGCTTCTCAGCCACTCCATTTTTTACGAGCTGATTCATCATCTGACAACAATTCCGCTTTAGTAGCGAATGCCGTGACCGCGACTTGTGAATGAACGAACTTCGCGCCATCACGGCAAGAACTTGGCATTTTCCGAGGATCGAATGTAAGCGGCCATCTCGACAGTATGCAGCGTATTCTCTCGTGAGATGATATCAAAACGAAGGGAGAGAAACTCACTGGTCCTGAACTCTTGAACTTACTGGCACAGACGCTGAACATCAAACTACGAGGAAATGTTTCTTATTGGACAGCCCAGAAATTTGATTCAACTGTGAGGCCGCTAAGAATCCGTCTCGCTGCGATAGTCTGAGTTAGAGATCTCGAAATAGCCATTCCGGAGGGAGGATTTAGGATATTCTCTCCTCTACTCGTGCTAATTGTCCGCCTCGCTCTCGATTTGCTGATTCCGCATCCAGGGAGTTCCTTGAACTCCATAAAGCCTAGGTATCTGTTGAGAAGAATTCAAGAGGAACGGGTCGGTCTAAGGTCCGCTACCGGCACGGCTGAACCATCAGAAAAGTTAGCGAATACCGCGGGGTCTCGCGTTTCGAAAATTGATTCGTTGTTGCCGAGACTGGGCACACTTGGGGCAAGAACTCGGAACGAGATCACACCGGCCCCGCTTCCGACATCCCCATCATTCCGATGATCGACTCGATAGAACGGGAAAGCTTCTTTCTTACGAAGGCTCGGATCTCAAGGTTCTGGAAACAGAACCACAACTGCGATGCTAGAGCCCGCAGTGACCCGACCAGCTATTTTCCCGCAGCAAGGGAAAGGAATCCGATGCTATATCTGTTACTAGCCGCCGCTGGTTCGAGGCGGCGGTGTTCTCAAAGGAAGGGGGACGACTCCGGAAAAACACACCATCCGGGGCAAAGAGATTCCCAGCTCAATGGCGGAACCCCATTCCTTCTCATGCGCATCGACGTATGTAGAACGTCGCTTCAGTGTGTCATTGTTCCTCACCACCGACCGACGTCCAAGGCCCACCGGCACCAGCAAGCGAAAGCAACTTGCAGAAGTCGCTTGAAAATTCTGCTAACCCCTTCTATCATTTGCTGCTTCATGACTTGCCTGTCTGACAATGGCCGGTCAAACGGCTCGCCCCGAATCGCACAAACAAGACTCGTTCTCAGAAATCGCAAATCGATCCTGAGGAATCGAGTTTCGCGGCCGCTCCTTCTCGGAATCGTGAGCGTTCTCGGAATGGGGTAGGAATTCCGAGCGAGGCTCTTCTCGGATCTGGATCGGGCCTTCTCCGACGGTGAACCTCCGCAACAACGGGGACCCTCAGTCTTCAACTATCAACAGATCGAAAGGATGAACTCCCGCGACGGGATAGAGGATCGGATGATTGATTTCGCATCCCTGAGAACCGATCGGAAGAATGAACCCACCGAACGTTCTGAACTGTTCCATTCTCAGAGCTGGACAACCCCAGCAGTACAGAACACCCGGACGGCGGAACGCAACGCTCGACAAGTTATTTCCCACTCCGATCAAACGACATTTGGACTTCGGACCCAGCAGACTTCCTGCTCACAATTACAATAAACTATCCGAACCTTTGGAAGCGCGAGCCGTAGCCCGATCGGGGGAAGGATCGAGATATTCTACAGCATATGTGCGGACCCGTTCCGGGAAGTTTCACGACCGATACGGATGCCCACAGAGCCGCTAATTCCAGTAAATCATTTCTACTGACCTTCTAGTCGAAGTAAGCTCCCTTTGCGGCATCCACGACGTCCGGGAGACGTCCGTGACGAGCTTGAGGACCAATCCAAAGCTCAATGTGAGTAACGCCTCAGGTGCTGCTGCCGTGCACGGCTGCCATTCCCCACCACCACCAGCAAGCACACCACTCAGCCAACCATACACAGCTTCTTCTTCACCACCAACACACCAGCAGCGGCAGCTGTAACGGCGGCGGTTGCGGCTGCACCACCGACGACGTCAGCGGCGGCAGCAGGCCTGCCGAGATCGGGACGGGGGAATTTCGCGATCGTGGGCTGATTCCATGCACCACCGCATACTGAAAATTCTTGTATGCTACCTCTCTCAGGGATTAGCGTACGAGGGGGGCGTGGGACGAAACTACGGAATTATCCATTCTGTTGACAGGATATAGAGAAGACAATGATGGTGGTGATCTTTGCTGACAGCTTGGACGGGCTCGGGCGGAGCCTCCTGTTTCATTCGGAGTCTACTCAAGAGGCGGTGTGGTGTGACTTCCTCATCTCCCCCACGTTCTATCCGCAAAGCTTCAAACGCTTGGACCAGAGGACGCGATCCCGGAAGAGCTTGCCGGCTCTTGTCGGTGCCGCTGCTAATGGTGCGTTATCATCGCTTCTGCGAAAAGGTTCTCCCCCTGACGGGTCTAGCGGCAGAGTCTCGGCGGATACAACGGGTTTGATTTCATTCTCATTATAACTCACGGACGTCGTTCCGGGTCTTGGGACCGAGATCGACCCGAAAATGTGAACCGCTTTGCTCCCAACCATATTCATAGAGTATCCCGAGGACGATGCGCCAGGGGTATAGGGTCGACTCCCCGAGATTTCCGACCACTCCTCCCAGACGGGGAATGGGAAAGTTCCTTGTTCGTTTACGCAATGCTCCATGGTGAGGAAATAGGATTTCCCGCAAGGCTTGATGCACACGCATCCACGGAATCCCACTGAAGCAGGAAAAACATTGCCTTCGAATCCCGACATCGATGAGAACCTATAATGGCTTAGGAAAGATCATCATTGCCTCCACTCATCGCCCATACCCCGCGAGATGAAGTTTCCTTCCCACTCCACCCCATATAATCTCCGTACAGTCCTCCTCTCGACTCGAGATGGAATTTTGTTTGAAAGAAATAACACGGTATCTCAAGCATACGTATCACAGCTCAGGAGTCCGCCGACTTCCCCCCAGCGCTCGACGGGGAGCACGCTAAATGCTGCGTATGGGACAAGATGGCTACCCCAGAGGAAGAGAGGGACCTGACTGAGAGATTCTTCGCTAATCGATTCCCCCGTTGTGATTGAAGCATCTGAGTAAATCTGCGCAGGCGGGGGAACCGAGCGGACCCTTAGGAATTCGAGAGCAGGTCGCAAATCCGCCCAACTCCAGTCTCCAGTCATGAGTCTGAAATTCGAAGCCGAAAAACCCCCTTCCCCCTCTCTGTGTCGTCTGCTAGGTAGGGCTTGTGACGTAGGATTGTTGTGCTTCTTCTTGTGATATGTTGGGGTGGCTGCCTGCTGTCGAGATCTGTCCGCTGCTGTTGGATAGATGGCTAGCGAAACTCAACGACGCTATTTTCTGATGTCGCATCGGTGCGCAAATGTGCGAAATGCTCCTCATTCTTAGTGGAAAACCTCTCCGTCGTCTCGTGATTCCCGTACCGGGTTGAATCGGGACCAAACAAAGCTCCGTTCAGCCGATATGAGTGAGGCGTGTGTTCGTTTGTTGTGACAAGCCTACCGCGACGTTAGCGCAAGCCGCAAAGTCAGAGTCGGCACTCAGCGATGAATCATGTGTACTTGGGAAGTAGGCTCCCATTAGAACAGTCCTGAGTGCTCCGAGATCTGAACTGAAGAGAAAGTTTCTGAAAAAAAACGGAAAATCCCTTCATAATGTCCTGTGTCGCCTGCGGTCAGAAGTTTGGTGCGCTGAACCGGGCCAGAGCCTGTTCATGGTGCAACAGGGAACTTTGTTCGTCATGTGTCAAGTACAAGATGTCTTCGAAGCCTTCTTGTGGGAAATGTTACACGAATAGTCAACAACCGAAAAGTGAAGTAAACAGCGTGGGGATCGATATCAGACCGAAAGCGCTGCGGGATCTGCAGGCCGCGCGATTGAAACGCAGCGCTGCCGAGTCCGCTGCTAATCCCACAGCTCCAGCAAGAGTTCATGTGGGTGGAGAAGATCAGGCCCATTCGGCGGGGAGCTCGATTAACGACGAGGACATCGCTAGAAGATTAGCTTTGCTCCGGGGCCAGCCGACATCGGTCGAGCCGCCGAGATCCTCATTGACATTAAGCAACCCTCCGAAATCCATGCAAGAACAGGAGGATGATCTCCTCAGAGCTACGATGTCGACGCTCGACCTGCAGAGGAAAACTTCGGCTGAAAGCTATATCGAGAAACGTCTGGAAGATCTGCGGAGGGACTGTCCTGTAGACTTGGGCCCTAGGCCGAGAGAACTCGTCACTGGCGTGGCACGCGATCTCTCGACGAGCGAGCTCATGGAGAAAATCCTGAGAGAGGCCCAGCTAGAAGTGAAGACTGGCGAAGTTGCCTCCGGGTCTTGCGAAATTGCCTCGGGAATTCCCGACGTTCCGGACATTTCGGATCTCGACGAACTTCCGTGGTGTGTGATATGCAACTCCGATGCTACAATCCGTTGCGTTTCCTGTGATAATGACCTGTATTGCCGACGATGCTTCAAGGAATGCCATGACAAGGACGACGAACACATTACAAAGGCTTTCACAAAAACTTCTAGTGATTGATTGATTGATTTTTATTTATCGTAGAGCGCCTTCGTGATAATAAAGATTAAGCCATTTTATTCATTTTATGCTTTGAATTCTTTGTGTTCTGTTCCCCCTCTGAGTTCATCTAATCAACTTCTCGGAGAACATCTCTCTATTTTGCTTCATTTCCGCCGCCATTACTTATTCGCTAGCATTCTTGGATTCGCTCCCTCCGGGGAGTTCATGGTCAGTAAGCTCGGTATGCACGCTCGATCTTGTCTGTGATTCGATGAGCTGAGACTCAAATACGATGAGGCAGAAACTCAACACGATACCATAAAAAATAATTCGGACCTTTCGATGCCCCCATCCTTTTCCAAAGAATTCGGGAACCTGGGTTCCGAGAGGATCTAATATTCAGAATCAAGGACACCCGGATAACAACTAACGCGAAATCTCCTTCCAGCTACCTCAGCTGCCCTTCCCTGTTGGGTCAGATAGTCTCGAACCTCAGTGTCCAGGCTCCTGGTCCTCTAATTAACTCGTTCTTGATCTTGGTGTCTATCTTATGCCATCAGCTTCCACTCCCGCTAACCTTTGCTTGGAAAAGTGCTCCGGAGTCTTGAACTGGAATGTCTCGTCGAGTGGACAGCCCACGTATCCCTATGAAGGCCCGGGACCTTCAACGTTCGAGCTTGAGGACATTCGACGTCATCAACCAAGGATAGAACGCTGAGCATCTGGGAATAGGCCGGGAAGAGTGTTTCCTATCCGAACCCTGATACTGTGAAGGAGGCAAATAAAGTCGGAGGGTGTATTTCTCGAGTTGATTCCGCTGCTTGACGTCAGCGTTTGAGATCGACGAGAGCCACGTAGAAAGATTTCCGATTCTCGCTCGACTCGAAAGGAAATCGATTATTCCTCTGATCCGATTCACGATACCGCCACATATTCGTCTCCAAGTGCTCCCTGCTCCACATCTGCTCAACATTCTTCGAACTAAACTCCGTATCATTTCCGATTTCCACAGAAAACAGTCTTCAAATCATCCTGACCGAGTCGGAGAAGCTGGCCGCGTTGGGAATGATCCCTCTCCTAGAAGGGATGTCATCACAGGACGGAACTGGAAACGGTGGAGGAGGCTGGAGATTCAAGTGCAAGTATTGTCCCTACACAACAGAATCGAAAACAGTGTTCAACGCCCACCAACGAACACACACCGGCGATCGTCCGTATCGATGCCGTTTTTGCGCCTACGCTGCTAAACAGAAAAGCCATGTAACCCTGCATGAGAGGTTGCACACCGGGGAAAAGCCTTACAGCTGTCCGTACTGCAGTTATCGCTGCTCAGATCCTACGGCGCTGAGGTCGCACAAGTTCAGTCGTCATCGTGAGATGTTTCTTTCCGAGGCCGCGAGCAAGGCCGCCAAGGCCGGAAAGTAAAGTGCTCTCCGAGGACGATTCACTGAACGATCGATCGATCAAGCGAAAAACTTAGCCCATGGTGTCGCTGCTGAAAGGACGAGGTTTGAATCAAGCAAGTCTTTGAGTCGACCGCGTTCATACCTTGTCGAACTGGCATTGTGAATGGATTTTTTGTTCAGCTAAGTGTGGAAAGGCAAATAGCGACCAGGGTCTAGGGTCAGTACGGAGAGCTGTATGTGTGCCGTTTCTAGCAGAATTCTAGTCAAAAGCAACCGAAAACCACTAAACTCACTACAAACAAGAGAGCAACCCTATACAACAAGCCCCATATGACGTGCTCTTTTAGCGGAATACCGCTATCCTTTTCACAACGCGACCGGGATCCCCACCTTGAGATCCTCGCTCAAGATGTCCTACCAGAGCTGTATATTCCGTTGGTATTTTCCCCCTTCGCCCACATTGTCTTGTTTGACAACTCCTCCACAGCCCCATCAGGCTCCTCTCCCAATGGTACCTACTCACCAAGTATTCCGGTACCGGGACGGTACCGAAAATCGCATGAGTGAAATTGCTCGCAACAAATCCCCGCTAGCCGTCCCGGTTCCCGTACACAGCTGTATCAAAATTGCAACCGCCGATAGGCAGAAGCGAGAAAAGCAAAACGCCACCGGTACTCGACACGACGAAGGAACGAAATGCGAATTGTGAAGAAATTACGCTAGTCACAAAGTATTTTACTAATATATGAGCTACAGATCGATCTGGAAGACTTGATCGACGAAACACTACAAACTGCTCTACCATGATCATGACAAAAGATGAGGACGAGAATTATAATCACAAGTACCATTGATGGCAAACCTTGTGGAAGAGACGAATCTACGGACATTCAGAGGTTCTATGCAAACGTACCTCTATTTTATTTTTGTGACGATATTGCGAATATTATCATCATTACTATTATTATTATCATGTATTGCGAGAGAAGACACGAACACAAAGATTCTATTATCGACTGAGACCACCCGAACCGCCACAAGATTCCCTCTATCAATCAGCTTCACGAAACTTTCATTTCATTAGTAGAATCATTAGCCGATAGGAGGAATTCCGATCTCTGGACGGAGTTGCTCATCTAGACACAAATCTAGTCAGACGGTAAGAACTCGTCCATCGACGAGACCCCTTCGCATCAAGCCAACCCTCCCCTGCCCAAATTCGTAAAATCGGGCAGCGTTTTCCTCGGGAAAATTCTGAATTTCCCCTCCGGGAAAGGAACGCAATTCGGAGATTTAGAAGAGCTGCCCAAGCTTGTGATTAGAAGAGTGCATGGGTGTGAAAGGGGAGGCCCTCCTAAACAGAGAGACTTGGGGGAATAAGTCTAGTCATTTTTTGAGAAACACGGAGAGACAGAAGAAACTCTTGCTTTTGAGCGGAATCGGTTCGCGAAGGCTGATGGGGATCTCTGGCTTGTGCTCAAATCGAGAGATTCCGCGACCCGAGGGGGGCGTCGTACATATATTTATCAAATCTATTTTGAGAAAGGGGCCTGAAAGCGCAGGAATGTCTGTGTGCGAAAGTGAATCTACCTGTCGCCAACGACACGTGTGAAACTTGTGTGAGATAAAAACAAGAACCTGATTCTCCTCCTCCTCCTGACCCACACAACCCCTGTCACAAATAACCCACTTAACTGCTGACCCGGAGCTGGAAACCAAGATCGAGTAACCGAGTACGCAATGGAGACTTGCAATTTCGTGGCGTACTGACGAATCGTCCTTGAAAAGGTGTTTCTAGAAGACGCAAAAACCTTCGGGCGATTGCGAGGGCCATTTGGTGAATGAGAAGTATTTATCTGTACTACCCCACCTTTTGGAACGAAGGCCCGTGGAAAGATGAATGATCTATCACTCTATACATGTACGACGGAAGAGCCAGGATGGTAATCTACAAACGCAGGTAACATGAAACGAATTTGCGAGCGAATCGAGCGCAAGTGCACCTATCACACTCGATACGAAAGAGGTCTTGAAAGACTGTGCGTATGGCAGGACGGTGAGGTAGCAAATGAAAACAGGAGAGAAACCTATGAAGGATTTTGGAAGGCGGAGCGCGAAGTCCGACCTTATATTGCGTCAGAGCCCGTCCGTCCTGCTATCCGCTGGAGTTTTCACTCCGTGAGCGAGCGTTGTGTCTTCGAGTGTAGACGTAGGAATCATTGTCGTGTGTCTGCAGAGGTCAAGCATTGATCGCTTCGTTTGTGTAAATATCAATCAAGTCAATCTATCCCCTTATCAATCTATCTATTTATCGACAGAGATGATTACAGACGGTGGAATGTCGTGCCAAGGTGACTTTTCTACGCTCGGCACGACCCGCCAAAAACCCTTATCTCGAGACAAGTGCATTCCACAATTTTTGTTTTTTTTTTCGAGCTGATCAACACAGATTCTCCGACCAACAGTGACTTTGTAATGAAAGGCGGAATTTGTTATGTACTTCATCAATCATTCATCTAATCAATCGAGGGAAAAACACGACTACTCAATCATGGGAACGAATCGATGGAAACGCGGAGCGGATCTTTCGATTGATATTGGCAATGGTGTTGCAGAGAATAACTATATGGCTTTGTTGAATATCTTTCGATCATGTGACATCCGCTTGATTGCAAAACCAGCAAACGAACTCATGAGACGCTCAACTTGAGAACGAATTCGGTGTGAATATATCGATTATTATTTGATACATCATCGACGATCATCCTCACGAGCTGACTGGTTTACAAATAAGGACGAAACTGGTGAAATTAATGCTACAAATTCATTATGACATACTCCACGATACGGACAACAACTTCGGGGAAGAGGGACCGGCAAAGGAAACCTACGACCGGGAGAAATCGACGGAAACAAACACAAAACACAAGCCATCGACAAAGAATCGAGAATGTCCGGTATAGGTGGAAAACATTCGCAGCAATAAATTAACAAAAATACAAAAGCTGCGAAGCACAATTCTCTGAGACTCGGCTAAAACAGGCTCATATGGTCGGAAGCTCTGTCAGCTCTCGTTGTACTTAAGACAGAGATAATATTTGACAGTACATCTTTGGATGATGTAGCAGCAGCAGCAACATATTTCGTCGCGTTGAATGTGGTATGATTGCTATAGGGAGCAAGCGAATGAGCACGTGGGTGTAATTGATTGATAAGATGATATAATTTATTCTTTTCCGACTCATCCGTCTAGTGAAACCATGAGCGTGGCTGCGTTCTCATGGAGGAACCAACGGATTGCGATATCCCTTGATCTCATTTTGAGCGTGATCTTTTGATTACGTGCGCGGCCTCTGTCGGCCAGCGTCTTTTTGTTCGGATGGATTTCCCCTTTTTCTCCTGAAAGATCTTTATTACGATAAGTATAACTGCATTCATCGAGCATGATTGTGGGTTTATAATTGTGAATTATAACAACTATTGTGGATTGAGAATTACTATTCTGATGACGATTGCGAGAACGACGATGAATTGTAATGATGGATATACTTTTACAAAGAGAAGACGAACGCATATAATAAATCGGCTATATCACCCCAAGCCCGACTCTTTATTGAAAAAAATCATTCCGCGACTCTATCGTTGAAATGAAGTTCACGTCCTTCCCTGTCCGGAAAATATTCTGACTTTCGCTTGTCTGTGGAATGGCTCCGTGATCAGCCATACCCGGATCTTGGAAGAGGAATAAAAAATGAGAGATCACTTTTTATACTTTTCGAGTTGGGAAGGAATCCCCCTCACGTCGACTGTCTCCAGAAGTTGGGGTTCGAGCTCAGCTTCCGCTGGAAATTGTTGAACCAACTTTCGAGAGTTTTCACTGGGAAACACATTTCCCCGCCGGGAGCGGGTACGGCGAAGGACGTGGCGTAGTTGTAGAAACTCTCGAGCATTTTCTGAGTGAATTCCGTGAACGTGTCGATCGGTTGTATTTTTTGATTCGAGCCCGAATCTTGGAAACGGATATCTGCCAGGTTTTCCACGCAGATTCCAATCTGTGCCACTACCAGGCTGTTGTTGTTCATGCCGAAGAAAGCATGACCATCCGCAGCGCCTGCGAAGAGATTTCGCATTAGGAATGGTAAGGATACACCGTGAATTATACCGGAAGTGTTGAATCAGAGCGATTCGGCGAAGCCAAGACCTTGTGCTCATACACGTCGAGGTTCTGAAGCAAGCGCCTCCGGGAGCGAACTCACTTTTGTTTGTCTTTGATATCTTGAATATGGCACTCGGTTTCTCGTTACTTATGTAGCCGAGATAATGCCAGACACCACAGCCGGTGGCGTCCGGAAAATTGAAATACACTGTGAACGAAATAAAAACCGTTAAGAGCTCGGATCAGGAACTGGAATTTACGAGATACGGCCGGATGGCTGCAGATGTCCACTCCGAAGCCTTGGTCGGACTGGACGTCTTCGAGGAATAGACTAGCAGATATGCTCATGTCTGATGTCCGGAACAGATTTACCTGAAGCTGCTAGACCCTCGGGAAAGGGCTCGATCCCCGTCATGAAGACAGTGATGTGGCTCACTTTATCCGGTTCGGGTATGACGAGCAGGAATTTGTTAGGTTCTAACTTGCTGAAGTCTGTTTGTACCTGGAAAACATCCAACGTCATAATGAGCATACGCGACACTTGTCAGTCTTGGGGAGCCAAGCTGAAGTTAATAACTCCCCGCTCCCTGTGGGAGTTTTTCGGGGACTTCCAGGACATCCACCCACCAGCCGGCCGGCGACGACGACACCGAAGAGACTCATTTTGAGGAAGATCCGAGCTCTGAGATTCCGACGATCGAGCGACTCGTTTCTCGATCGTATCCAGGAGAAATTCTATTACCCCGACGCACTGCGAGCAGCTTCTGTGGGGGTGAGCTCGTCCGATTAATAATCAGCTGGTCCGGCAGGTGCCGCCGTGTAGAGCGTTCCGTGTATTTATTTTCATCAGGGCGACACATACACATGTGAGGGCGGTGGGGAGGGAGAAGACAATATGATAGCGGTGATTGCTGCTGCTTGTGATCCTTTTGGAACGGAACTTGGTCGGAATATGTGCTTCAGACCTCAGACTCTGCGGGAGATGGCCCGATTCTGGGAACTCCGATCCTCAGACGTATCACGAATCGAGCTCTGATCCTTCGGTGTTAGAGTTGTTCTCTCGCTGTCGTTCAAATTATGAGGCGCGAAGAAGTCTTTCTGCTATTGAATGCTCGGAAGAATTGATAGAAAATTCCATCCTGATAAGATGCGATTTCCAGCTTCAGGAATCCAGGTCGAGCCAGAGTTTCGCTCCTTCTGAGAGTCACATCCAGGCTAACTCCCCTGTGGGGCTCACCGAGTACCCCCTACAATGAAGGAGGCACATATTCGTATCGCCGGCCCTCCTCTGAGGAAATCGACACGGCCGACGCAATAGCGATGAGAGAGACCGCGCTTTGACGTCTACTGATCTGTCTCCTCGTACCGCTCCGGCGACGGTGGACGCTATGTTTTTTTTTCTTCTCCTCGGGCTCTGTGTTGATCGTCGCTACTGCTCTGTCTCTGTAGGTAGAAAGAGAAGAGGAGTTTCGACGAAAACAACATTTATAACCAACTGGCTTATGGTGCGCGCGATGGTCAAGTGCGTAATGACAGTTTGATCTCGTTCCCCGGGAGATCGTGGTTAGATCGGGCATTATGTGGCTCAGTTCGTGAACACTGGGAGACACTCTCGTTTCGTTGTTCGTCTTGACTATCAAAAAAGACCATGGATTACAATATGGGTCCTGTGGAAGATGATGAGGAAGATCTTGTTGAGGCTCTACGGATCCTCAACCCGAGTGTCAACATCATCGAGTTGGATAACATAGAACTCAGCCACGTAAGTACACCAATCGATGTGCCTCCATCCAGCGAGAGATTAGTTTGTGGCTCCAGTGAAAATGGGCTACCCCGGATTTTCCTCTTCGCACAGAAAACACGTCAGCTGAGAAGCCTCTCGGGATTTGCCACCGATTCCAGGAGTCGAAATGGAGTCGATGCGTACGAAGTCTCATGTGCCCAAGGGGCAGATATCTCCCATTTGGAGCTGCTTTGCAGCTGTGCGCGGTTTGCCGGGTCGTGTCCATCGCAATGCAAGCGACCTTGACCAGAAGTGGAAATCGGTGTTTTGATGCCAATCTCCGGCTACACTACTCCGATATCCAGTCGAGGTTTTTGGGAAAAGCGTGCACGTGAGTGTGACGCTCCCCGGGGTCACCGAACGAGCTTACTTAGCGCTCGTTTGTCAATTTAGAAATATGTCTCGTCAGCGAGCAGCAGAGCTGCTCAGTTATTGGGGAGCGGAGAGTTTCCCATTTTCTCGAGACGATAGGAACTCTGCGAGCCAGCCGGTCTTCTTTCGATCAGGGAATCGGAAGCTCGGGACTCGAACAGACGTTCTTTGAGGTGGAGCTGATATCAGATTGGCGCCTGATTGCTCATAGAGCGAAATCGATATCAACTAGGTGCCTCTTCCTCCCTGATGCAAGAGTAGAGCCCCGCCAGCGATACACCCTCGGGAACTGGAGTCCTGAGAGGGTTCGTGGAGTTAGCATTCCTCCAGGAATCATTTTTGACCTACCACGAAAGCCGGTTTCTCGCGGGCGGACGACATGATCTTTCAAAAGAATTCCAAGAATCTTTGCGGCGATTGCCGAAGCGAGTCTGATAAGAAATGAGCTTCTCTGCATCGCCGCCCATCTCCCGTTCCTGGAGGTTTCCCGGAACTACTGCGATCGCAGGAGCGAGGAAGGAAGTATTTGATCCCCTATCTCAGAGTGATTGTGACAAGGTCGTGGATTATTTTGATCCATACCGAGAATCCTCGATTGGGAAGGCAGATTTCCGATTTGGAGGCACGCTTGTTTTCGTCATTGTTCCACACCGGAACCTTAATGGTCCATCTGGGGTTGCTCTAGGGATCGGTATGAATATCAGAAGGGAATAGGAGCTGATCCATTCCGCACTGAAGAAGAAGTCATAGTTCACAGCTCCGGCGTCGACAATCGAGTCAGACGTGATTCAAGCTCTGCTGCGTAGCTTCGGGAGGGGACATCTGATTGACGAGGTCCTTCTGACCTTCACGTCGACTCGAGGAGAAGGCAATGTATCGATCGCGGAGTAATTGAGCCTTGGAAGAATACCATCCCTAATAATTTCGGGAAGGAGCCTGTCATCGGAAGCGATTGCTCAGCAAGCGCCCACCGATTGGATCCTGCTCCACATCCCAAAAATCGCTGTAGGTATGTAGAGCAAGACTTTGAAGCATGCTGACCACCTGAATATTTTACAGCAACCCACCCTCGGGAGCGGATCTTTTGGAGTGGTCCGCAAAGGAACCTATCGCCGACCCAACGGCGAAGTCCTCGATTGTGCCGTGAAAGTGATCCACAGTCAATCTGAGATAAAAGCCTTCAAGAACGAAGTCACTCAGCTGAGCCGAGTTTCGCACGAAAATATTGTTACCGTTTACGGAGCTTGTATCGGGAGACCATGCTACCTTGTTATGGAATACGCGGCGGGCGGAAGCCTTTACAATGGTGAGTTACGAGCTACCCGCGTTGAGGGTGAAATCAGCGGATGGGGTATACTTCTTTGACGAGAACGTAGTCAGTTCTCAGAGAGGTGAAATCTCTCGGGACGGACACCAGGGGATACGCGGGCTTACCGCGTCCATCATTCTCCGCAGTTTTGCACAACAAACCCTACACCACGCATGTGCAGTATACCGTGGCGCATGCACTGAGCTGGTGTCTTCAATGCATGCGAGGGATTCATTACCTGCACAATCTGAAGCCCAAGCCCCTTGTACATCGTGATCTCAAACCCCAGAAGTGAGTCATGAGGACGGAGAATCGACATAAGCTCCAGGGAACGATTTAAATCATGATGAACGGGTCTTTGACGATAAGCTCTGATCGTTCTTCTCCGTTACAGCCTCCTCCTAGTCGATGGCATGCTCACTCTCAAAATCTGCGACTTCGGGACTGTCTGCGATCTCCAAACGAACATGACAAACTGTAAAGGCAGTGCTGCGTGGATGGCGCCCGAAGTTTTCAGTGGTGAGCGCTCTCGATACTATGAACCTGAAAATCTAGTATCCGAATGATTTGAAGCTGGGACGATTCGTCGAGCCTATTCCTGTATGTATATTACTCAACGTCTCTTCCTCCGTGATTTCAGGCGTTCACTACAGCGAGAAATGCGACATATACAGCTGGGGCGTCATTTGGTGGGAAGTACTGTCCCGACAGAAACCCTATGAGCACTTCGCCAATGCCTTCCAGATAATGTGGGCTGTGAACAGTTCGAGTAGACCGCCTCTGCTCACCAACGTACCAAAAGTGAGAGACTCGGCGGAAGATAGAGCGATGGAGGAAATCTGCAATCGGAGTGAACCGCAGCGGAATGCCCGTAACCAAATAAAAATTCTCTGCTTTCACTCCAGGTTTTCAGCGACCTCTACCAAGAGTGCTGGGATCAAGATCCCGCCAAACGACCCACCTCGGAGCAACTATTGGAAAGATTGACACGTCTTTTCGATTTATGTGATCCGAGTGATCTGCATGAGCTGCACTGCCCGATTCCGCTGAGAAGCTCCACCAGCTCGATGGATGCTCATCTAGTTCTTGATTCTTTAAATGCTGTCAACACTCCGACCGCCACCCAGAGACGGCCCAACAACTTTATACTGGAGGTTCGCTCCCCTTACAAGCCATGCGCTTTTCGAAACATGATTCAATCACGACGATTGTGATAATCATAATGATAATACTAAGAAGATATGAATTAAATGGATTATAAGAAGGAATAACTTGATCATTAGATCCATTTATAGATTCGGGATAATCTTATAACCGGTTTCAGAGCTTCCCAATCTTGCCCCGACCAATCTTGCCGGTGCTCAGCCCTGACACTCCTTCCACGAGCCGGCAGACCACACCAGATATGAGTTCTGCGGGTCCGAGTAAGTTTTCTGACTAGTAACCCCTGAGCTGTAAGCGACGCTGACTAGGATCACGGCAGTGATTCCTGCGGCCCAGCGTATCCTTCTTGAATAACTTCCAGTAAGAGATCTTGATCAATCCATTGTCATTCCAGCGTTCCCCACGCATAGGCGCCAGCTCTCAGGAGGATTGCAAGGACTTGGGATCATTCAGAAGGAGGTCACTGCGCCCCGGAAGTCTTCGTGGCCCACGACTCCGGAGGTCGGCGATCCTTATGAAGATCTTGGAGTTCAGAGTCATCTGCTCATCGACCCCCGTCTCCAGGTGAGGAATTTCTCCGCGACTCGAGCCCGAGTCCGGAGCCGTGGCGTGTGAGCCTAGGCTCTGAGGCTCATTCCAACGTGGAGTCGTTCCGTCAAGGAAGGAATTGACCCGGAGACATTTTTCCAGCCACTTCCACCGCTGAATGACTGCAAAGAATCGGTTTCGATTTATGAGAGCCACAAATTGAAATGTCAATGGTTCTATAAGCAGAACCACGAAATCGAATTGCTCCTGAGACGAACGAAAGACTTGGACGCGCTTCTGCAGGTCAGTCGGGTTCCTCGACGAACTCCAGTGGGACGACTCGTCCCGAATGTCATGATCACGGATTGAATACTTCTGATCGTTTTCAGGAGGACCCACCCGAGAGAAAAATTGACATCAGAGAAAAGCATCAGGAACTTTTCGATGAGCACAGGAGCCTACTGCAGCTAAAAGACATCCTGAAGAAACAGCTCAGTGAGCTGAAATCGAAACACAATACGGACGAATCATGGGAGTTTGTAGACATAAGTCAAAGATGATGATCCAGAGATGATTCGATCGGGAGATTCTCCTGGGAATCCTTCTGTGACCTCCGTTTGAACGGACATATTAGGCGCTGCGCCGCTCGGAATATCACATAATCAGGTGCTCGTTTCGCGTTAAAAGTTTGCCTTGTCTGTCGACTGTATATAATATGAAACGACCGTAAACATGATCTTAGCGTAATGTTAAATAAAACTGTTGCATGACCGGTTGAAACGCCGTTTCTTCCTTGTACTTCTCCTCATTCAAAAGGATAGGAGCAGACTGCGGCAGACGTACGCTGGGGAGATCCGAAAGAACATAGTCTTGCCTCGTCCGTTGCTATTAGGTAATTAAAAAAGTTCGTAGCGTTTTTTACCCCATCTTCAAGACAAAAAACGCTACGAACTTTTTGATTCATTCACCTAATATATATGAGTAGCGCTTAGCCCGATCCGGGGCCCGCAGAACTGTTGCGATCTGCGGTCGAATCACAAACAATTCATCTCGTCGCTGATTCCGTGGTACTCTTAAGAACGACTCCACTTATGAGTTTTCCGGATAAGAACGGTCGAAGGTGGACTGGGATGTCGCCTTCAGGCACGCAAGAAAAGAGACCCATTGCTCAAAAGAGACCCGTTGCTCAAAAGAGACCCATTGCTCGACGGAGTCTCCGACCTACCAACAGATACCGATGGTTCAGAGAATTGCCACTGATACCGGAATCCCCAATCACGCGTAAGGCATAGGTCATAAGTAGGGTGCGTCACTTCATGCACAAAAAACCCGGAAAAATGCATGCAGATATGCACTAAAAACGGGCAAAATATGCAGACAAAATGGGGTAATGTGCACTGAAGAAATCGATCATTGGGCATTGGAAGAGTCGTAATTCTGACGTCCAACAACAATGCATTGTGAATTTTATTCTGAAGGAGCTAAAATTATGGGTTGCAGAATATTACGAGGTGCATTTTCAGGTTTTCAAACGAGAAGCCCTGTCGGCGGTCGCTGAGAATGTACTTTAGACGGGAAAAAACTTCTTTCGACGTCCACAGAAGTTATGGGAGCGAATTTCAAGGAACAAGTTTCTGAGGGCTCCAAATCATCTGGAACCCGTGCAGATGACGTTTCTCTTAGGACTTCCGCGATGGCCTCCAATTGACTGAGGCCTTCGTTTCGAGACACGGCGAAATCGCATTTTTCGCGAATACCTTTCCCGATCGAGCCCGGCATCAATCAGAGACTCCGCCGCTTCCTCCTCCATTACACACGGGCTTCTCTCTAGGCGAATTCGAGGGAGCATTATCGTCTCGACTCTCGAAACACTGAGCTTTCGACTGAAAATCGCAGATGATCGTAGTTATGCCTCGGACCGTAGGATATTACGGAGATTCCCTGGCAATATATCTGATAACATGCCTCTTGGAGGGGAAAACCTCGAAATATGCATTTTGCTCGAAAAACCGTCGAAATATGCATTTTCATGAAACATATGCAAAATGCATGAAGTGACGCACTCTAGTCATAAGTCATGTCATGAGCATTCCCTCTCGTCGAGGAATTCCTCGGCTCGCTTGATCGCAAAATCAATTGAACTCTCATCTTTGGAAAAAGGCGTCGGTCTCCGGGAAAAACTTCCAAGAATGCACGGGACCGCATCTCGGAGAGTAGCCTATGAGGGAGTCTCTGCTGCCTCTATAAGGGTCGGAGAGTAGGCGCGGATCAAGAAATCCTCCGAGAGGTGGGGAGGGGGACAATGCATCGAGGACGGGGCCCATCGATGCCTGGGGTCGCTTAATTATGGGAAATAACGGCCGCGGGAGCTTCCTGGGGCGACTTTCCGAGATGCGCTCAGCGGGTCCATCAACGCTGGATTTCCACTCCGGAGCTGACGAGGACCGAGCTGGGCTCCTGAAGACGATTCTGATGAGTGAAGCTTGATTGGGAAACTGCATCCTCTATCCCAGCGGTTCCCAACCTTTTTGGCTCCGCGGCTCCCTAGCGAACCCAGAATTCCCCCGCGGCTCCCAGGATACCCAGTGCCCACGCGGCTCCCGCGGCTCTTACCTACTACATCTACCGTGGCAGAT